CGGCGCAATCCTAAAACAGAATTTAAAACATGAAGTTCTATTAACCTTGCAATGTGTACGTGGTATCGTTGCGCTACGGGTAATTGTGGCTCGGTCACTGATAAAACATGGAAGGATGGTGCCAAGAAACAAAGATGTGATGACGGTTATCCATGATATCTGCCCCTTGCTCGTCACAGCATTTTTCCGACCAGCTCGGGGGGGGGGGGAGAGGTTTTATCTTTTTTTCTACGGATAACATTACAATCTACCTATTTCAGGCTAATTACAAGTAGATGTTGTTTATAGCACCCTTGTTGTGGCTGTAGCTCAATAGTAAATGTGAACTTGGAAAACCTTGGAGATTATGTTTCAGCAAGTAAACATTTATATTTAATTATCCATGTTGAACCATATCACACAAGGGCGGGGGGGAACCAAAATAAAGAGACAAGGTGAAACTTCAGAGCTCATCCTCCATTTTCCAGTTTAGAAAAAAAAAAAAAACGCAAAGCCAAAATGCTCCTGCATGAAGCATCCAAGCGAGAGGCAAGAAACAACTGCATTTTCCCTTACCCGGCAGCTAGCCACGTTTTGAACCCCTGAGCGGCACAGATGAGCCCGTGCGCATATGCAGCTTTGCTGTCCAAATGCGGGGAGCCATTAACGTTAATTATTGGCGCTGACATTCATTCCTACGTATCAGTTCCTGCGGCCATGATGTGAAACAGGCATGATTGTGACGACGCTGCCAATGACCTCCTGGGAAGCCTGTTTCCCATTTATTCGTAGAGCCATTGTCGCGATTTCCAGCCTGTTCATGCCTTCATGGTACCTTGTGCAATGCAGTCCTACAATGGAGTACAGCTATGCTGCCAATAGCACCGCGAATAATTACAGGTAGGTAATATCGAATAGGCGGGCTAAGCATGGACCCTCCGTCTTCAGCGACGCAATGGAATTCTAGCCTACAAGCCAACGATCTCAAGACATCGGTCTCAGTGCCACCTCGTCGAATGTTGTTCAGCTGCGGTCGCCATCTGCATTGTTCCTCTAGCGCTGGACTTTGACATGGCGAGAAAACCGGTCGGTTCATGCGCTAATCTGCTGCAGTGACGTGGTGGCGCCTCCAAGGAGCGTCATTCAGGCGAATTTGAGCCGTCATCAGAGGCAGATCTTGAACAAATCTACCGAGTAGACGTCTTCATTCGTGCCACGTATGTGTCTCATGGATGCAATTCGATGCGGCAGTTGATGCAATGCAAGCATGCAAGGCTGTCTGGCCAAGATGCAGCGCGCAGATTGACTCCATGCCCGCGTCGGCCACGAGCATCGCCTGCAAACAAACAGCGCCATGGATCTGAGCAGGCTACAAGCACATCAGTCAAAAGCTGAATCCACCCATTTGACCCCTGGCTAGGACGCCACATGCCCGTTTCATCGGCCTGGCTCCCGCCTCTGGCTGGCGCCGTCAGGCCCAAGTGGTATTAGCCAGGGACGCCCACGGAATCTAAAACAACCTAGGACCGGCTCCTCGTCTCAGCATTTCTTCCCATGAAGTGCCCAATTCTTCTCAATGCGCATTCACGCTCACAATCCACCGGAACTGCGCTGTACCGGCCGCGAAGAGGACTCCAACCGCCAGTCGTCGAGCCACGCAGGGACAGGCCTAGCGCAGGGACAGGCAGCTGAGCTGGGGAATCTGGACAATCTCGTCAATCCCCCGCGGTCTCGACCGTTTTGCGTCTTTGCGTTTCTTGGTTTTGCCGGCCACCATGTCGAAGCCGTCCGGTCTTTCAGTCCCTAAAAGCGGCGTATCGCGCTTCTCCAAGGCGCTGCCGACGGTGCCTGGATTGGACGACTACTACACAGACGACGACGGCGAGAGTAACATCGGCGGCGATAATAACAACAACAACAACAACAACAACAACAACAACAACAACAACAACAACAACAACAACAATAGCAGTTACAACAATAGTAATACTAGTCACAGCCGAAAGAACAGCGAGTATAGTCTTCCCGCAAGAACCTCATCACTGGCATCGCCTCAGTCGACCAAAAACATCCCCCTTCCGCCGCTACCTCCTCCGCCGACCAAGACGCTGCCGCCGACTCCCCAGGCCAAGACGAATCCCAGCAGCAAGGTGAACAGCTACAGCAGTACAACCAGCGCAAACGTCGTCGCGGCGCCTTCAATTGCGCCCAGCACGCCCTCGTCGGCGCTGAGCGCCGGGATTCTGAGCCTCCAATCGCCCCCTTTGAGTGCCGGATCCAAAATGTCCATCCCGCGAAAGCCCGTCGCGAACCTGAAGCTGCCGGCGCCCTCTCCGCAGTACTTGGCGCAGCCCTCTCCCACCTTTTCCCTGTCGAGTCTTCTCTCGGCATATATGGGCGATGGCGACGAATCGCACAGCCCGTCCTTGTACGAGACCACGACGAGTAATAGCGAGATCGATAGGCAGGAAGTCGCAGCGCCGGGTAGCGAGAAGTCGGTTGCGGCTGCGGAGGCTAGCAGTGCCATCGCCGCAGCTACAGCTGCCTTTCCCGCTGTTCCCAGCAAGCCCAAGGCCGCACCAGGCGGCAGTGGCTCACTGCCTGCTCGCCCCAACGCCGGCACTGGCACAGGAATAGGCGCTGCTGGTGCTGGTGCTGGTGCTGGTGCTGCTGCTGCTGCCACCCAGTATCAGCGCTCTGCGGAGCGAGACCTCCCTTCGCCACCACCCAAGGACGAACCGGCCGCAGAGCTCTCCACGCCATCCTCTCCTCGCCCCGAGATCTGGAAACGCCGTCCACACATGACCCAAACCAGCAGAGAGCTTCCCGGCCTGACGCTCGACTACAGCCACGGGTCGACTGCAGATACGCAGCTGCCGGCAGACCAGGACGACCCCCCAGCCCCAGCCGAGACGGCCAAGGCCGCAGTGCCTCGAGCACCTCCGTTCGCCGGCGGCTTGCCTGGCCGCAATATTCGCCCTTCGTTAGGGGCCAAGGACCAGCCGCCCCCTGCCGCGCAAACCATGGGAAGCGAAACCTCCAAGCTGAAGCAGATCAAAGACAGGCTTGGCTCTCAGCGCTCTGAATCGGTATCCAGCACTTCTAGTGCAAAGACTGGCTTTCCGGGGGCTCCAGCTGCTCAGCGGCCGCCGACGCCAGAGTACCGCAAAGAAGACGTCAAGCAACCGACCGTCGAGCCTTTTGTTTCCCCCGTTTCTCCAGCAGCGTCTCCTGAAGCCCCCAGAGGTGCATCTCCCGACTTTTCAAAGGATCTTCCTCCCAAGCCTCCTAAAGGTAACCAGGTCGCAGTTGCAAGCACTCAACCCATATCACGAAAAGCGATCACAGTGTCCCCTGGCCAGGGTCTAACAGCCGCCAAGGATTCATCTCGCCCGCCATCTGATGCAAATAGCACGAGCACATCCAGCCAAGCGACTGTGTCACCAGTACTACGCAAAGGCGATACTGCCCCAGCACCGGCGCCAGCACCCGTGCCTGCACCCGTGACGGCTTCTCTTCCCAACGGCCCAGGATCCGCCCGCCCGCGTGTTTCGGGGGGCACAAGCACGGCTGCTGTGCAGTCACAGCCGACTGTCATACAGACAGATGTTTATCAGATAGCGAACCCTAAGCAGAGCACCCCCCAGCCAACATCGGATCCACGGCTGCTCAAGTCGGAAACACAAGGGCTTCTTTATCGGGGCCGTGACGGCACTTTATATCCCGAGATGAAAGTTGAAGGCGAGCCTCATCCCAAGGCCACATATTTCCCGACACAGACGTATTCAAACTTGCCCAAAGACGGCATTATCAAGGCGAAGCCACTCACCAAGACGCATTTTAATTGCTTCCAACAACACAGGACGATGAACCGCCGAAGCAACAGGAATTGTCCGCTTACCTGCCAAGCTTGCGATAGAGCAGATCTTGAAGATCGCTGGGCCTGCGCATTCTGCCATGTTCGAATATGTGATGCTTGCCATCGCAAGTTGGCCAGCTACCAATGGGATCTCCGCCGTTTGGTGGACAACCTCGCCAACACTGGTCCCCTTTCCCAATCCCGGCCAGACACCGCTCCCGGGTTCCAGGCAACGTTATAACACCACGCATTCCCCTAATCCTGCCCGCTACATACTGCTACCACGATACCCCTATTCCGCCCACGCCCACGCCCCCTTTTCCTTCTCCTTCTCCATTATTTCTCTTTTGTTATGGCATGTAATGTTACTGTCGCGGGATCTGGAGTACGAATATCATCATTTACCGTCTTTCTTTCTTTCCTTCTTCTTCTTTTTACCTTAACAAGGATCTGTATCATCAAAGTACCATAAGAAGGAAGCTCTGATTGGCTCCTCAGTTTTCACTTTCGATACCATTTTCACAGCTTACCCACAAGACTTGAGGAGAAATGTCACATGTATAGTATTAGAGGATTGGTTCAGTCGCTCATTGGTTCAAAGAGAATGGGACACAAAAAGGATAATTCCGAATTTTTAGGGAAATCGACATGCTGGAAACCATGGTTTGTACAAGGTTGAATTTGTTTATATGACTCGAGGCATCTTTGGTTTTGTTCTCGACAAGAGGCTGATTGAAATAGACTAGCATTGGTGTAATACTACTCAGGGATAATAAAGCTGTCTTTTGAACAAGATTGAAAACACGCAAGGGCTTATCGTACTTGTTTGCATTTCCGTGATACCTGGGACGCGGTTAAAGGAGGCGAGATGACATGAAGTTGTAAATCGACAATTGGTGGAGCTGGGGCCACCCACCAGCCACATTAGCATAGCCGAAAAGGGAGTAGCCAGGCACGGCAATTGGGCTTACAGCGCCCAAGCTCCCCTGACATCACTCCCAGCAGGGCACTGATCGGTACGTCAAATGTCACCGTCGGGCTGGCCAGCTTCAGACTTCAACCATCCCGCCCAATCTTCAGCATCGGCGCCATGTCGTCAATACCTCGCGCGCGCCCTCCGCAGCGCTCCAACACCACCGTTCCGTCTTCGATACCGACGAGATCGTCCAGTACACGAGAGCCGTCGGCAACTCGAAACGCCTCGCCGACCCGGCTGCCCAGCTTCAAATATGGTGCCCGAGCCGCCTCGACTGCTTCTAGCTCTAGCAGCTCGACGAACAGCTTGAAGAACACCTCTGCCACCACCACCAATGCTAGCAGTGGTATCCCCAAGGCACCTACGGCAACGGGCATACCTGGACGGCTGACGAGATCAATGACGCTGGCAACAAAAGAAGTCACTGCAAGAAAAGAACGGACTGCGTCAACCACCAAGTATCCGCCCTCGACAACCATGACGAGGCCATCTCTTCAAGCGAGAGGGAGGTCTACGAGCATATCAATGCCGGGGAAGCCAAAGGAGCTTGAGAGAAGGCCGACGGGCATCGCATTTGCTAGAACCTCGGCCACTAATCTTGCTGGGCCGGTGGTATCGAAGCCGCCTAACCCTTCGAGGTCGAGAGATCCAATTCGGCGGCCTGCAACGCCTACAGCCCCGGTAGGTGCGCCATCATCTTCCAGAAGGTCAGCCACGCCAACTACGTTGACTCGGGCCAATACATTCTCGGCTTCTGGGAGACCAGTCACGCCTACAGCGGCACCGAAAGCGAGGACGCCGCCTTCTTCTTCGAGTAGGGCGAGGACACCACCTATGGGACTGACCCGGGCGGCCACATTCTCGGCTTCTACTCGATCTACTAGTACTTCTGCGACCTCTGCAACTCGACCCGGGCCTCGGTCTATAGCTCGGTCTATAACCCCGACTCCTACCCCGATCACTGCCCGAGGGGGGAATTCAGCGGCTAGTAGCCGAGCTGTGACTCCTACGGGACAACCAAGGACGCTGGAACGCAGAGCTCCTTCAGCAGAAAAGTTACCCGCTCGTAAGCTGTCATTGGCAACGATCAGCAGAGTGGTATCTAGACTTTCTAAGCCCTCCTCTGCCGGTACGTTGCTGTCACAGGACCAAGCATCGCTGAAACCTCGGACTTCAGCTTCTTCTCTACAGAGACCAGTCTCGCCAGGCAAGTCTTTGGCACCTAAGCTGTCTACGTCACATTTGGCTACATCGTCACCTTCCAAGCTGCCGTCAAATATCGCTGCGTCGGCCGAGGTCAGCAAGCTCCAGGCCGAGTTACTGCAGCTGTATCTGCTGCACCGCGAGGCGCCAGTTGTAGAGGCCGAATGGAGAGCGAGTGCCAAGCAAAAGCTGGGGGATCGATTCGCAAAGCTGAGCGAGGAGAGCAGAGATGTCTCTGAGCAGGAGAGCGCGGCGCAAGAGAAGAAGAATGTGCTGGCACTTAGAAGATGGGCCAGTGGTGGCAGACTGGATGAAAAGATTCAGTCTCTGGAATCCGTCATCACTAATGTGTGGTCGCTGAGTGATCCAAGCGGTCGATATGCCCAGCTGGTGCGGCACTTTGAGAGGTGGATCGGCGGAGTGAGCGACATGGAGGAGGCGAGGAGAAATGGCGCCATGCTCGCACAGGGCAACAATGACTTATTCATCGAGGATCTGGATGCACAATGGAAAGAGGAGCGCGGAGAACTCATCGGCCAGCTTGATGGGTGGAAGCAGCAGCTTAGCGACATTAACGACCTAACCTTGGACGAATTCTATGCTGAACCGCCAGACGAAGATGAAAAGTCTAGCTTGGAGAAGATGCTGGACGGGTCGCGCGCCTTGATTGACAATATGCTGGCGGAGCTGAGAATCATGGAGGTTGTTGAGCACGAGGCGCTTTTGCGAGAGGACGAGTGGATTGGGAGGATGAATAGAATTGATGCGGATAATGACTTTGAGATTCCGCGTGCGGGAGGTGCTTGGAAAGAACTATAAGGGGATTTTTTTTTGGTCTAGGCGTTTGTTTCCTTTTTTTTTTTTGTCTTCAAAATCGACGGCCTTGATATTACGGCAGGGTACATGAAATTGGTTTTCTATAACATACGATGGATACGGGCAACGGAACTATCATTATCATCACCCTCATGAGCAAATAGCATTAGCATCAGCATTACATTAGCGTCATCACTACCACCAGAGACACTGGAATGAATTTCAAATCTGCTTTCAATTTCGAGAAAAGAAAACTAGACTGCCTCCTTTCCTCCCCCAGTGAAAGCAATCATATATTCTAAGTTGACAAAAATGAAAATAGTGTGTCATGGGGGGCCCAGCGAACTCTTTAAAAGTCGGGGCATAAAAAAAAAAAAACAATGATTCCACCTCGTGCGCGCATAAAGCTTTTTCTTTTTTCTCTTTTTTCTCTTTTTCTTTCTTAAAAAACGGGAGAGAAAAAAAAATGGAAAAAGAAGACCTCCCAGTGAAACTGAAGGGGAATAAAAAAACAAATCAAGTCGGTTGACGCACCAACGTCACTTATCACATGCTGTTTACCCATCCGCCCCCCCTCATCATGGCTGTTGCGCATCATACTCATCATTTGCTAATGTTCATGCATCGTCATCAAATCTGAAATTTTTTTTTTTTTGTGTTTTCTTGTCTCCTCTCTTGAACCACTCTCCCTTTACAAGAATGCTCTCCGGGGGAAGCCAACTCCTTCAATGGCAGGCTCATCGACGAACCAGCTGCATCGGTCTCCCGCAGCTTCGTTGACGAGGGTGCAGGGCAGTCCAGAGCTCGTGTCAAAGATCTCCTTCATGATTGAGGCCTTGCCGGCGCCGGTAGCGACAAAGGCAACGCGGACGGCGTGTGTAACAACGGGCAGAGTCAAGGTGATTCGCTTAGGGGGCGGCTTGGGCGAGTCCTCAATGGGCGCGACCCAGGCATCGGCCTCGCGCAGCAGCTCGTGGTTGGGAAACAGCGAGCAGGTGTGGCCGTCGGGCCCGCAGCCGAGCAGCAGGAGGTCGAAGATGGGCAGGCGCACCGAGTCGCGCGAGGCGAAGCTGCCGACGAGCGTCTGCTCGTACTGGTCGGCGAGCTCCTGGATGTCGTCGAGGTGCTCGGTGTTGATTGTGTGCACGGCGGAGGGCTGTTGGTCGGCGGGCAGCTTGTCGAGCAGCTCGGCCTTGAGCAGGCGGTAGTTTGAGTCTTCGTGGTCCAGGGCCACGGCGCGCTCGTCGGCGAAGAAGATTTCCCACTTGGAAAAGTCGACGACGTCTGCGGGACCAGATGACGGCGCCAGGAGAGCCGCGGCGAGCGTCTTGGGCAGCGATCCGCCCGAGACGGCCACCTTGAAGGCGCCGTGGCGCTCAATGCCGGCGTTTTGGCTCTGGATCACGTAGGCTCGCAGGGCTTGCGCGAGGGCGTCGACGCCTGGGAAAGCGTATAGGTTGGGTTGTGTCTTGGGCATGATGGATGGGCTGAGCTGAGCGAGGCGAGGGGCGAGTAGCGGGTTTAGCTGTTTTGCGTTTTATAGGTCAGAGGGCTGAGTTAGCCAGAGACGATATATAATGGAGATTTTGTTGTTGGTGCTCGAGCCGTATTATCGGAAAGTCCCGTCTATCGATTTATTTTCTTTATCCGCGGTTCCAGGTTTGCCTCGTCTTTTTTTTCCTCTCGGTTGTGTGTGGTTGGAGTTTTAGAGCTATGGTAATGAGCTATGAAGGAGGTCCCGATAGTCTGGACGGCGGGGTTGCTCTATTTTTCCGCCGTAAAGGTTGCGGCTTGTCAAAAAAGAAAAAAAAAAAAAAGAGGCTGCGTGCTATGCGCGCGGGGTTATGTCAGAGGCGCGTGGGAAGATAAGATAAGGCTGCGCTTGAGTTCAGGTAGCCGTTGCCACTGGCAATGAAGGTTAAAAAGAGACGAGCTGAGGGGATCTGTGTCTTTGCTCTTTCTGGTAGTTGTTTATTAGTTTTTTTTTTGTTATTATAGATTTTCTATTTCTCATCACATGGGTAAGTAAACTGACGATATGTACATACGAGGTGGTTCGTTACTCTGCGCAAGAGGCGGGAGAAGATTCGAGAAGGACTAAGGAAATTTCGGATGGTGATGTGCAGTGCAGCGCACACACTCGGAACGGATCTGCAGGGATGCCGCTGGTCTGCATGCCCAAGCCGCTTGAGGCGCCCGAGTTGGAGAAGCATCACGTCGACGTCAATGCGCTAGTCATGTCAAAAATGATGTTTCAACGCTTTTGCTTTCTGATGCTGGGCTTGGAGAAGTAGCACGGCAATCGCGGGTGCTGCTGTAAACTGTAACATGCACCTTTTGTCTGGCAAGTATAAAATCTCCAGGAAGGCCGGGGATTAGGCAGTGGGTAAAAGAGGTGAGCTAGAATAAGAATTGGACCTAGAAATCCTTGTCTTTATCAATCCCATGTCTTTATGTGTAAATCTGCCTCAATCTTTATATATCAACCTTAACCTATGTATCCCACGAGTATCCATCTACATGTATGCATACCTTCGGCTTCCATTTGTCGAAATCGCTACGCAGTGCTGTTTTTACGACTCAGTCAATAAGCAGATGCAAGCAACATGAATCTCTCTTATATTTAAGTTGTAAACTCAGCTAGCAACCTACTGACCTTGATTGGTTTAGCAATGCTGCCAACCATGGCCGATTTTCCGACCACCGGAACTAAAGAGCTTGATACTGCCGAAACGGGCGATATATGAAGGGTCTCAAATGTAACCAACCCAAAACTTATTTCCTCGTGCGTATGATCGCCCAGCTTTGCAAGAGGCAAGCTGAAGGATGCGGCATTGGTGCTTTATATCCAGCCTTTGCATATAGCTGGGCATGTATGTGTGTAAATACAGCTTACTGGGTAACTGTAGCGTATGCATGTTCGATGTTAGCTGCGCTCGCTTACCACTCCCGCTGCGAAGCTACCCACCCATCACACCTTACTTTCTCCTATATCGATAGCACCCAAATTGAGACGGCACTTGAATGCTCATACTTGATGGCTCATAAAGACCCCGAGACAGATATAACGTCATGTCCTTTGTGGCGATATTTTGGTTTGTTTGGCGTTGCGGCTGGGGATTGACCAAGGGCGTAATGACGTAATGATGAAGCCTAAGTGAAGCCGCCTCTTCATGCGTCTATTTTCCTCTATCTCTAAATAGTACTGCAAGTTTAGCCTCGGCCTCATAGAAAAAAGTTGATTCCGTAAATTTTTTTTTCCAACTAGGCACTTATTGAGATGCGACTATGCCTTATAACCCGTAATGCTATTTGTTACCCACGGCAGGAGCTATAGTAGACCTGTACAGGTAATGGCTCACACGGATTAACGAAGCACGTATATGATAATTAACCTCTTAACCTCTTGGTACCTACCTAGCACAGCGGGCGTTGTAAATTGAAGTTGCCACCGGAGTAGCTCCGCTGTCAAAGAACTTGCTGCGCCTGCTGCGGGTCTTGGTCTTGCTCAACCAGCCACACGTTGCAAGGCACAAGGCACCCCACATGGAAATGAGAGCATTGAGGCGAAAATTGTGTAGCATCTCATCTCTGGAGTGAGCCTTGCAAGACCATCAACCATGTAGATCTGATTGAATTCGCCCGGGACGAGTGTTTTGATTTGCTCGGGCTTTCCACAGCCTCATGTGCCGGTTAGAGTAGCATTATCGAGCAAAATGCCGGCCTCTCTTGTAGTGGCAGCTTGGCTCGGTCATCTCTCCTCTGTATTGTCTCTCCCCGTTGGTAGCTTCGATAATTAATGATGGCGGGCGCTGCGGACTTGCTTGTTCAATTTCCGTGGCAGGGCTATCCATGGCAGCCTCCAGCTTGCGGCACCTTGGCAGCCGGATACCATTTGTGCGACAATGGAGTTTTCGTCTGTATTACTGATGGCCCGGAGCCTTCAGCCCAGAATGCAACTCTAGCCCCGGTCTAGCCCATGACCGTCGTTGGCTGTTCGTTTCTGCCACAAAGTCCCACCGAGTTGCACGCTCGGGATTTCAGGGTCCAGCGGGACACACACTCCGAGGGGTGCTAAAGCAACGCCAATCAACCGCCAAATCCCACACGCTTGCGCGACTGCTAGCCCATTTGGCGTATCGTCTAGGGCCTCATGAGAATTTTCAGTTTATTTTTTTTTTCTGTGCCTCCTTCGCCTGCCTTCGCTCGTGAGTCTGTCCTCGGTAGCCTCCCCTCTTTTGGCTTAGCAGTCCTTGACATCTTGGGTATTCGTTATTAATAATACACCGAAGCCTTTTTGTAAGCTCGTTGTCTTGGACTGCGCTGGACAAACGGCAAACGGCAGACGGCCATTGGCTCTGGGTTATCGGCAGGTGCCAACCAGGGCGTCAGGCTGCAAAGAGGTTGTGCCGCTATTGGCATCTGGCTGGGCCTGGCTGCTTCCTTCCATTGCCTGAGTTGACGTTGCAAGGAAGGTGCCACGTTGTGTTGCCCCTCCTCCTGGTTTCAAGAAGCCGCCCTCGGGACTTGCTTCCTCAAAAGCAGGCAGGTAGTATATATCGCGGGCCCGGAAGAATCTGGAACTTTTCATGCTCCTTGGGCAGTGTCGTATCATCCTGCTCAGTGTCAAGCCACCAAAGTCGTTCGACGCTGGCGAGAACAGCTCCTTGTAACCGCCAACAGCGGCATCAGCGCCAACGACTGCAAAGACAAACGACCGCCATCAGCAGCTAGCGGCAAGCACAAGGCATTGAGTGGCAACATTGGCCTCGCAACGGCGGCCTACACACATTCCAAGCTCGAAAACACCTCAACTGTAGTAGCTGTACGGCAACAAAGTGCGTCACGAGACGGCCTCACTTCAGTGTTACGACGTTGGGCCGGCTTACTGATTCGCTCCCTTTCCCAAACCATTCTGCGTCTCGTCACCGCGCAGGCTTGCCGGCTACTCTCCTCTCCTCTGCTTCGCCGGTTTCCCCCCTTGGCTCTCCTCGTCTTCCCGGCCTTTGGATATTACCGCCACTAGCTTTGCGGGGATATAATCGACCGCGGCCTCGATCTGTGCCCTCGTCTGCTTTCATAACCCTGGTGGCCATTGATTGGCTCCTAGCCAGGCCTTTCCTGCAAGTTGACCAGCGGTGCTATTCCACACGGCATATATCCGCAACACGTCTTCTTACACCCGCCAATCCAGAGACTTTTCGGTCTTGCGCCGTCCTGAACCTTTCCGTTGCCTACCTGGTATCAGCAACCCCTCCAGCTCGGCCCAACTCTTTCGTCCAACGTTTCCGCAGACAAGACAGATCTTGGCTCTTGAAGAAACGGTAGCTTGACCAGCTGCTACAGGCTCGACAATCGCGTGGATTTTTTTCTCTTCTCCACTCCCTCTTCGTCAATTGCTTGAGCAGCAGGGGGTTCTCGATCTTGTAGCCCCGATAAGCGATCGCCAATCAAAATTGTTCTCTACCTTGGCACAACTCAAACGTGGCTGGGCACTGACAAACAACTGCTACCGGCTTCTCCTTTCTCTCTTCATTTTCTTCTTTTTGCATATATTTTGCTTGTCGATTAACCCACTATTATTTCTAGCTGTCGTACAGTAGCCCCTTCTGATTACTGCTTGACGACAACCGGTACCAATGTCGTCTCCAGACTCGGATCAGATTGCCCTTAGCGAGAAACTTCTCGAGCGTCGTCAACAACTGACTGAGGGACTCAAAAGCCTACCGTATGATTTGATTCTTTACCTCGAGCGTGCGGCCGTGTATGCGGACCTTGGATACCCCGACCTCGCCGCTGGCGACGCATACCGAGCACTTCTCCTTACTGATGAAGTTACAAATGACGGATTCGAATACCATGAGCAATCCTTGGAATGCCTAAGCAAATATCTTGGCGTACCCCTTCCAGAGATCTTGGCCCATAGCCAAGTTGCCGACGAATATCCTGATCTGGTCAATGGCGGCTCCAAGGATGAGGATGCTGCTTTCAATCAGCTGGCAAGCCTTGCGTCAGTACGGGCGTATCAGATACTGTCACTGAGTCTCTTGCTGTGCGGTTGCTTGAAAAGTGCATCTCAGTTTTGCGATCGAGGCCTGGCAGTTGCTCCGCAAAATGCAAAGCTGCTTCACACTAGGGGGCATATTGACAACGTGGCTAGACAGAGGCTGGGCCGCCAGGATTTCGATGCCAGTGATTTACCCGACTTTGGTCTAGTCCGGCGGGAAGTCTATCCATGGAATGACCATGAACCGGATCGCTTCTCGCCCGAGTCTTTGCAGTCCTTGAACGACGGGCTGAAAGAGATGGCTCCAAAGTGTGCCGTTCAAGTGGCAACTCTGCCAATCTTATTAGAAGGAGAGAGCGAGACTGACAATTATGAAATAATTCCGACCTGCAAACAGCTTGGTGTCTTTGCTCAAGAGGATATCGAGGCTGGTGAGGTTGTGCTCAGAGAATACACCCTCCTTACAGCCAACAACAGACATAAAGATTCGGTTTGCGATGCCTGCAGCTCTGACCTCGCCCCGCTTGGCAGCGATAACCAACCCATTCGATGCGAGGAATGTTTCGATACAGTCTTCTGCAGCCAGGAGTGTCACGATCTGGCCCAAGATCGCTATCACCCTGCAGTCTGCGATCAAGACGTGGACTCAATTGCCAAAGACCCTAGCGCGTTCGAAGCTGATGAAACTCTGCACCTCCTCCTTCTTGCCAGAGTTTTGGCGATAGCGGCCAATGAGGAGATTCACCCATTGGATGTGCGTGAGGTGAAGTTCATCTGGGGCGACTTTGTTTCCTCTCGATCAAACGAGATCAACGTATCGCCCAACGCTGGCCCTCCACCGGAATGGACTCTCCCATTCTCTTTCAAATATAATATTGAGACACCGCTGCACATCCTGGAGAAGATGGATGTAGATATCTACACGGCTGTGGAGGAATATGACCTGTGGGTCCTCAACACGCTCTATGCCAAATTCCGAGGAACGGCCTCAGCTCGCAAAAACCCTCGAGACGGGAAACCAGATGTTGCCGCGGTTCATCCTTATTGGTGCCTAGCCAACCACGATTGCGATCCAAACGTCACTTGGGACTGGAGCGGCCGAATGGTTCTCTCAGCACGAAAAGAACGCGTCGTAGGCGGCAAGCCCGGCGGCATCAAGAAAGGCGAAGAGATTCTGAACCATTACTGTGACGTAACACTACCTGTGCAGCAACGACGCGAGTGGGCTCAGGGAAGTCTGGGAGGCTGGTGTATGTGCGAGAGATGTCGCACAGAGGCCGCAGAGGATAAAACGACTGGAAATGAAACTTTGGCGTGAGCGTTGGTAGTTTCCCGAGGACTTTTCTCTCCGAACAAGCAGCATCGATACCTGCGGCTAGGATGCTTGGTCATCAATACCTATGTGTCTATCCTCAGCAAAGACGGGCGACGGCGCAGTCGAAATCTAGCAGGGGCTGCGAAGCTTTCTGCCCCCCCTGATAATTTCAAGTGCAATATTGATGGCGCGTCTCATTGCGGTTGCTTAATCGTGCATGATGAAGAAAAAAACTTGTTAGTAGAAAAAAAAAGATCAAATGAAGCAATAGAGCTGGCTCTATGGTAAAAGTTTACAAGCCTTATAACAGTCCGGGACCCTCGCTCAGCTATGACTCGCCCATAGGAGAACAAGAAGAAACGTATTCTTGTTACCGTAGCACCTGCCCCTGTGCTTTCGTTCCCCATGCCCAGCTTCGATAGCGTGCGTGGCTTTTCTGAGGAAGGGACTTTTAACGGTCAGCAGCCCCCATGTTCAAAGCCCAATAGTGCGTCGAGGGACTTCTGTCTCTACGATGAAGACCCTCTAGCTCTTTTCCATGGGGCCGAGGTCGACGAAGCTTGCAGGATGAACAGCAAGGATGGCAATGGCGAGAGCATACGATGCTGATAGGCCAATTGCACACGATACGTGTAATCTGTGGGTTTCTGCACGAGAGAGGGCCAGCCTAACCAGAGCCTGGCCTGGCTCTGGCACCCTGGCATACGTAACCCAAGGAGGATTATAAGATGGGGGCGGTACTACAAGCGAAAACTCTGGTTAAAATACGGAATCACCAGTATAGTCTTTTTATTCTTCACACGCTCAGCGCTATAAAAACACATATCAGAAAAGGAGGCAAAAAAGAGAAAAAGACATGAGGATTCAAAAATTCGGGTCCGTCCAGCGCTAAAACATAGAATTGGCAACAGAGATACAGGAGAAGAGGAAGAAGAAGAGAAGAGTAGGAAGAAGAAGAAAAAAGCAAGATAAAAGAAGCCAAAAAAAAAGGAGATAAAAGATGAAAACAAGTCCAAAATCTAACAAGCGCCACCATTTCCCGCCAGAACCGCCGCCGCCACCAGATTGTTTTTTGTGTATAGATCCTCTTTAGCCGGAAACACCGTCCAACAGTGTAATTCTGCCTGCCTGCCAATGAATGTGTGTGTGCCCTCCATGTCCCTCGTCTTTTAATCTCCATTCTCTTATTGCCACTATCGCCCGCCGTTTGGTGGAGGTCGCGGTCCTACAATCTGCCTCCGCCCGGCGCCAATGCCCTGCGACCCTTTGTTCTGGCCGTCTCCGCCGGTATAGCCGCTCCATTGGCCGACATCCCACCGGCCGTCGATGCCTCCCCCGATGCCGTCGACGCCGTTCTCGCCCCGGGTCATGGCGGCGGTTTCCTTCTGGGCGTCTTCCCACTCCTTCTGGCGCTGCCTCTCCATCTCCTTTTCGCGCTCGAGTAGGGACTTGGACGCCCAGCCGGCCGCCTTGGTCTTGTCTTGGCCCTGGATGCGGCGCCGGTCTTCGGCATCGCGTTCCTCGGTTGCGCCGAGTTCTCGGGCATATGTCTGCTGGGCTACCGACGGCGCGGGGGCCGAGTTGGTTGCCAGGAAGCGGTCTGTGCGATTCTGGGGTGCTTCTCTTGGAGGCGACGAGTATTTGGCGGGATCAGGCAAGGGACGTCCTCCTACTGCTGGTACGGCAGCGTTATTGGGATTGGGGAGAGGGCGGGGAGACCTGGGCAGGGGCGACGAGGCTAGACCTTCTCTCTCGTCTTCCTTCAACAAGTCTTGATGCTGCTTCCACTTCGTCTGGAGGACCTCGCGCTCTCCTTGGGAATAAGACTCGTGGCGGTTCAGCTGCGAGGCATTGCCTCCTCTAGGACTGCGCGACTCGTCTGGCCGACCCCTGGATATAGGCCTTAGTTGATTAGGTGAAGTAGGTGCTCTGCCGTCAGCGGCCCGCTCTTGTCGGTCACGCTCGTATTCGACCTCGCGCTGCTGTGCCTCGTGAAGCTGCTCTCTCTTGACTGCCCCGTGGCCCTCGGCCTTTTCAGCGTTGGCCTGCTCGGCTTGATACTGGCTGAGGAACTGCCCGTGTAGTTTGGCAGGGCTCCTGACAGCGCGGCGTTCTTCTTCGATGCGAGCTTCGGCTTGGGCTTCTTCCTTGCGGCGCTTGTCCTCGGTCAGCTTCCATTGTCGCTCTTGCTCTTCCCACTCCTTCTTCTCTCTTTGGACTCTTTGACGTTCCTCCTCTCTCTGGCGCTCTGTCTCTTCCTGCCACCGCTTCTCCTCCTCAGCACGAGCGCGGTTTTCGTCCTCGAGCTGGGCTTGGCGCCGGGCCTGGGCCTCTTGCCTCTGACGCTCTTCTTCCGCAATCTTGTCCTTCCTGATGCGCTCCTTTTCAGCCAGGCTCGGCACCTGAGGCGCAGCGGAAGTGATTTGCCTGCGGGCTCCGAAAGCGACCCCCATGCTGCCCTGACTGGCGCCGCCCATGTAGCCGTACTGCGCAATATTCCAAGCCGGGGCGGTTGAGCCCTCGTGTTCCTTCTTGCTCCAGGTGCTAACGGACTTTGGGGAACCAGGGCCCTTCCCAGTGCTCTTTGCAGGGCTCACCTTGGCTGCTGCAGAGTCTCCAGTAAAGGATGCGCCCCGGCCGCGCGAGGTTGTAGCTCCAGCTCCGGTGCCTTGAGGCGTTACAGCTCCAGGCTTCGCAGATTTAGGGCCAATCACATGGGGGAAATTCGCCGGGTTGGCAGCGTGTGCGGCTCTGCTGAATGCGCCAATGCATTGCAGCACCTGGGCCGGGTCCTTGCGCTCAAACAGGTCGACCGTGAGAAAGGTGTCGTGCTGGTGCAGGTTCAGGGGCGGGGCCTGGCATGCCCTGAGGAAGTGGGATATGTTTTCCATCTGGACAAAGGGCATGGCCGACTTCTTGAACTTGATTCCAGGAGCCGGAACAGCGAGATTGATGAGCCTGAAAGAGAGAAGAGAGGAAACGTTAGCGCATGCGACAAAGGGCAAAGGACGGCCACAGGCGGTTGCTGCGGCGGAGGCAGGGCGCATTTCGCATACTTGCAGAGGGCGACACCATCTTTGAGGCCGTCGAGGAGATCCTTTGACGGCAGCGATTCTCCCAGCGTCTCTTCGATCCATGCGCGGGCTTCGTCAGCGGCGGCTGGAGTGTATTTCTCGAGGCGCAATCTGCGCAAGTCGCCGTCCAAGGACGTCACGGAAGCCATGTTTGGATGGCCAGAGGTGGTTCGGTATAAGATATAATCTGTCGCTTTTGCTCGTCTATTTCTTTTCGTTTCCCGTTCAAAAGACTTGGATGTACAGATCCAGCAATGTACGTTGTTTTGTTTGAGGATGTCGTCACCAGGTCAGCGTGGGATGTCGTAAGCGGCAGGTTCGGAATGTAGTCGCAACAAATAGAAGGGCTGGGCGCAACTGGAATTCAGCGCATGACAACCGCACGATTTTGCGCGGGCTTTAGGATGTTGCTTTTTTTGTTAAATGATATGTCTGCACAAGAAATGGCGAAGACAAATAAGTACAAGTTAGGGGTATATAAGTAGAAAAGTATATGGGTAGAAGGCAAAAGTCCAAAGGGGGACCCAAAGAAGATTGGAAAAGAAAGGGTTCAAGTACCTTTTGCGTGGCCCCTTGCGCAAAGGCGAATGACGCACGTCAGCTCCAGCTATGCTGTGCAGGAGCAGGCGGGGGGGGGGGGGGGATTTTCTTTGGCCTGCCGCTGCTATTATTACCACACAGTCAAGGGACCAGACCCAAATTACAGTTATTACACGGCGACTGGGGGGTGCTTGGCTTGCGACAAAATTGGGGGACAAGAGCAGAGGTGGCGCCACGCACGCGGCTGCTCAGGTACAGCTTTGCGGGAGACGCAGCATGCAAGGTACCTACTGCTGCTACTACCTGATCTGCTTGGACCCTTTATTCCATGGCCGATGGCCTACAGGTAATAAACAGCCCCCCGCCGAAGATACAGCAGCAATACCGAGTGTCAAGATGTTTTCACAGGTAAAGGAGGGGTGCCTCATCTTCGTTTCGCTAAGCCGTCGCAGCAATATCCTTTTCCTGCAGGCATGCGACGAAATGCGCATTGCTGGCAACCCTTAAAGCTGTCCCCCCGTTCTTCATGCAAAGAGGGGGGGCGAGGGGCATTGCAACAAAGTCTAGAAGCCTGGCGTTAGCTGTGTGGCTGGTGTCATGGCCAATTGCGGCGCACAGCCACACGCGTGATGCTCCATGCATATATGCATAGCAATGACAGCATATCATCTCCAGCAAAGAAAAAAAAAGCTTCGTCTTCCTTTATTTTTAGCTCTCCCTCCCAGGACAAAACCTTTTGTCTCAACCACCATAACATCCTTCATGTCAGCAACGCCGAAGCGAATAGGCCCTTTTGCTCAGGCATGGTATAAATGGAAGGCCCTGCGCCTTCCCTGGCGGAAGCGCTTCCTCATAGGTAAGTTGTATTTGAAGCAACTTTTTGCCACAAACGCTATAATACAATCCCAATTCCTCTCCATTCAATTCCTATTCTTCTTTACTCATTACATCTTCTTGTCTAGGCTTCGATCTCCAAGGCAACACCTTTTGGGAATTCCGCCTCACCCGCGGCGCCCAAGACTCCCCGGAGCGCTGGCGCCGCATCGTCTCCTACCCGCGGTCGACGCACTACTCGCAGGTCAAGGTCAGCCCCCAGTGGCACCAGTGGCTGCGGCACACGCGGCGCGAGGCCCCGACCATGGACGAGCAGCGCGCCGAGCTCGTGCGCCAGGAGAGGATGAAGCTGCTTGCCGCCGAGGCCGACGCGCGCTGGGAGGCGAAGCCGAGGGTCATGGAGGCGCCGAGGGAGGAAGAGCCGGCGAGGAGACTGCCTTTGGCTGAAGAGAGGGCGCAGCAGCCGGTAGAGGGAGAGGATACGAAGACGACGGCGACGAGGAAGGAGAAGCCTTCTCAGGCAGCGAAACAGGACGAGGACAAGGCCGATGCAAAGGATCCTTGGGCGAGGGCGAGGGCGCAAGGCCCGGGCGAGAATTGGCAGCCCACGGCATGGAATCCCACGGCTGCGGCCAAGAAGCGATGAGATGTGTCAAAGCGGAACAAAAAAGGAAGACGAAAAGGGGAAGGAAAAGGCCAAACGAAACGCACAATGAGAGCAACAATGACGAACCGACACCATCTGTATTATGACTAGGTCCAGTATGTACGCATACGGATTGACTGATGGATAGACATGTATTATATGTATCATTACCTAGAATGTATACCCCCCAAAAAAGCCCAGGATATTTCCCGCCCAGTGGCCCAAACAACGCCTTGCTCCCAGCTCTGTTCCCACAGAAACTTTATTTCTTGCAAATCATGAATAATACACACGCTCTTCATTACAATTCGTCATGCCTTTCCGAGAGAAAACAAAAAAGGAAAGAAAACGCCAATCAAGTAAAAAAAAATAAAACATGCGCGCTGTAGCACAACTCAGCTCAGTCAAGTCGATGCACTCAAAACGTCCAACAAAACTCGTATCCGATCGGCAGATGCCTCCATGACGTTGGAAGCATGCGAATCGCTCGCATCGGCCTTTGTGCGACCCGTCCTCTTTCGCTGCGCCTTCTTCACCCGCGCCTCTATGCCCTTGTCGACCGCGTTGGCAAAGCTGTCTGTATACTCGATCATATCGCAAAGCCACAGCAGCTGCATCGCGCTCTCCACCAGCAGCGATAGTTTGGCATTGTCCTCCAGGCCGATGGTATTGGCAGGATAGCAGACGTAGCAGTGTTCCAGCATAGGCATCGTCAGGCTGCCCAATGAATCACCTTCCGGGTCCACCTTGCGGGGATCTTTGTAGGACGACGGGAGGAGCAAGTGAAAAAGCTCCCTGGTGAGGGTGATTTGCGACGGTCGTAGCAGCACGTCCGGCCGATGAGAGACAAACAGAGCGAATATATCCAGAGGGAGAACCTTCATGCTGGCTGCAAAATCCTCGTAGAGCCTGTCAAGCTCCGTGTGCTTGCCCAAGTCATCTGTGGCTACGGAAAGCAGCCTAAACAGCCGCAGCCGCAGTTGAATAGACTCTACCATGCCAGCACCGACCCCCGAGGCTTCACTCTTAGTGCGATGCTTCTGAGGGGTCGGAGGCTCAGAGACGCCGGAGGAGATGGACTCGTCTTCGTCAAAGTAGTCGCCAAATTTATCGTTGGCCAGGTCAAGGACTGCTTCACGCTTTCGCTTCTTCCCCCGCTGCCTTGGCCCCTTGTGCTCTTTATCAAAGACCTCCTGGAAAGATGAAGAAGAAACGCTTCCGTTGTAAGCAAATAGCGCCTTCATGATGGCCTTTGGGCCAGAGTGGCGACCGTCCTTCTGGTCCATATACATGACCAACATGGACTCGGCTCGCCACATCGTTGGCACTTGTCCAATGCGTCCTCTTATCTCATAGTCCTCCAGATCGCGACGTCTCCGCTCTTCCCAGTCGGCATCCAGCACATCCAGCATAAACTCCAGCCACGCCTTCCAGTACCGCCATCGGTGCGGCATCAGCGTGCAGCAGTGGAACGCCCATCCGACTGTAGACCAGAAATCCTGGCCTTTGGCCCACACGCTGCCCTCGTTCGCAATCCTGCCCCGCAGTGCGTCGCGGCTGCCCTCCGATTCGCCATCAGACATGTCGCTGTCGCTATCATGGCCGGCATGTCCTGTTGCTCGACGGTTCCATCGCGGCGTGGAGCGGAACTGGAAGGCGGTTCGGAAGTCGGCGTGAAGTGGTCCCACCACTTTGAGGACGTTGCGGAGGTAGCTCAGGGCGAGAGAAGAGACGTCGAGATGCTCTGGTTTATCGACACGCGTTGTGTGCAGCGGGTGGACGGCGATGGTGCTGAGGAGCGCCAGGTGGCTCGGCGGCGGCACGGGCACAGGCTTGCCGCTCGGTGATGATCTCGATATGCCGGAACCGAGCATGCTGCTAAGAAGGTTGATGGCGCAAGTGTCTGAGCATCACCAGAATGGTCAGTACCACTGTCAAGATGGATTGCATCAATGGGAAGCGCCGTGGCAGCAGAGGAGGGGTGACGCAGGTATGCATACACAATTGTTCTTCGAGGAAGATCTGGCAGTGCTCTTTCAGCTCGTGAGGCAGCTCCCGTGCCGTTCTGTACTGACATGGCGAGCCGGTCGTCGGTGTGCTCGCAGTTGTCGACTTTGACGTGAGCTCTGAATCCTCCTCCTTGCTCGAGTAGAATGATGTCGGTGACGAGTCTGTGCTCGGCTGTGATCGCCTCGCCATAGTTCGTTTAGCCCTCTCGCTAACAAGGCAATTTGCGAAATGCCGTTGTTTTCTTTGATGTTTTCTCTTTGCAGGTCGTAAAAAAACAGAAATAAATAAAAGGGCCTGCAAAGAGAATGGAATAAGGAGGGCGGTGCGGCTGAAAATGAGGGGATGAGGAAAACGCAGGTTTCAAGTCTCGGAAGCTGCTGGTTGGCGGTTTATTTTTCTTTGATGGCGACGCGGGCCTTCTGGCACCAACTTTCGCGGGGCCCCTCCCAGTGCCGACAGCGTCGACTTTTCCCGATCGCACACTGTGCCGCCGTTGCCTGTTTGGGACCAGCCCGGCAGCTTAGCGCCCAGACCAGCGCGGTACCTACCGAGCCCAGTGCGCGGTGGCTGGCGCCAGGTACCAAATTACGCAATACGTGTATTTGTACAGTGAGAGCAGTGCTGGAGACTTCGATGTTGTCAAGGACGCCTGGTCTTGGGCAGGACAAGTATCGTGATGGAATGTCAGTGGCGTCGAGTACTTTGGTAGCAATTTGATGCAGGATGTATCATGATGTCATGTACATGCACTCCAAGTCGCTCCCCGCTTTGCTTAATACAAGGCACTATATATGGCTGGCTGTGTGGTTACATTGAGGTGCAACGCAAAATGAGCCGCAATGTTGGGCAGCGCTGTATCGAGACATTCAAACAAGATAGAAATAAGCTGTAAATGGCCATGGAGATTTGCCAGTGAAACCCTTGGAGTTCCAACTCAAGGTGTCTGGATATGCCAACTAGCAACGGCGTCTTTACAACTTCAAGACTATACTTGGGCTCAGTTCATGTACACGATATCCAAAGGTCAAGCCAGATTCTGAGTATTCAACTTTTTGTTTCTCATTCTATCTATGTACATGCTATATTGGTATCCGATCAAGTAAAAACAAACGCTAAGAGTAAGTTGCTAGTAATACGTCAAACGCATCAAGCCCTGCTCTCCATTACCACGGGAAGCAATATTCTTCTGCTCTCGCATCCCATCATCTCCTTTTTTGCTTTCGCCTTCGTCATGATGAAAAAACAAAGACGCCTCTATGTATTAACCAATGCATATATCCGTTCCACGTGGCCGTAAATCAAAACCAGAAAGAAAAAAATAAACTCTGAACCGATGGTATTCTATCGCTTCAATATGACTATCAATGTTTCATAAAAAGAAGAAGAAATTTGGGAAAGGGAAATATCGAAAGAAACAGAAAAGGGGGTTGTGGCGATTAATCCAGTCGAATGTAAAGGTTGAGGGGGGTTTGGCATTCATTGTGGAAAATGAATCAAGATTGTTTTGGATTTAAGCGTGGCTGGCACGGCTGGCACGACTGGCACGGCTGGCTCGGCTGGCTGCTCTCTCCAGTGCCAGGCTCTCTCGTCTCTCCTTCTCCTGCTCTTGAATCTCCTCAATAGCCTGGTCCTCGGTGACTTCAACGTGCTTGGCTCGCATTTTCGCAAGGACAGCCGCAGCTTCGGAAGCATACTTGCACGTGGCACGGATTCTATCGCCGTACTTGTAGAAGAGAGCGGGGAAGGGAACGCAGGCCAGAGCCAAGAAGGCGGGAATGGAGCTCGCCCAGTGGACACCCAAGTTCTGGTACATGTAGGTGGTGAAGAGTGGGAAAGCGGCGCCAAAGAGAGATCGAAGGACGGAGCTGGCAGCCAGGGCTGAGGCGGCGAAAACAACATCTAAATCGGGTATCAGTCATGGCTGCACACATACAGACACACACAAGGATCAAGAAGGAAATGAAGACTTACAAGAGTCGACAAGGTAGTTCATCAGCGAGAGGAACACCAAGACAATACCGGAGGCAAAGAAAATGGAACCAATGATGGAGACAATCCAGTGAACGCTGGGGCCGTTGGTCCACGCGAACCAGAAGAGGCCAATGGGAATCAGGATGGATCCGACAATGGCGGGTGGCAGACGGGCTTCGGGGGGTGCGTTGCCATCGGGCGCCCTGGCAGCAGCCCTCAGATATCGCTTGTTGTCGAGCATGGATCCGACAGTAGACAGAGACATACCAATGGCAATGCCGATGAATGCCAGACCGCCAATGCCCGGGCTCCAGCCACGACCTTCTTGGTAGACAATGGGGAAAGCAGCGAAACACATGTAGAGTGTACCGTAGATGATGGCCATGTAGAGGGAGATGAGGAGGACGATGGGCTCCCTGATGAGAAGCTGCCAAGGCCTCAGCAGGGAAACCTTGAGCTGGTCGGCAATGCTCTTGGCTGGCTGTCCCGCCTCGAGCCTGGAAATGTAGACCTTGCCAGTCCTCTTGCTCAAGGCACCGGCACGTTGGCGGAGCAGGACTGGGGCGTATGTCTCGGGGTAGACGACAGAGCTGAGAATCCAGACAACACCAGTGAAGATGGCAATCAGTCCCTCAACCCATCGCCAGCCCTTGGACTCACCAAGGAAGCCACCTGCAATGGGACCCAGAGCCGGGCCCAAGAAAGGAGCCATGGCAAAGATACTGAAAGCAACTCCTCGCTGATCGGCCTTGAACATGTCGGCAATGACACCACCGGCATTCGTCAGGGGAGAAGAACCGAAAGCGCCGGCAAAGAATCGGAGGATGACGAGGGTAGCAATGTTCTGGGAACCAGCGGCTCCGGCACTGAAAGCGGACAAGGCCATGTAACTGACGAAAAAGGTCCTCTGGCGGCCGTACAGCTCAGACAACGGGGCCCAAAGGAGAGGACCAATAGCAAAGCCCATGACAAACAGAGATACACCCAGAATGGCGACTTCAGCGGAGATGTCAAACTGC